GTCACTGCTGGTGGTTTGCGTACTAGACATTATGTGACATGTGCCTTCTATCGTCACTTATCAGCCCTTATCAGTTGTTATCACTCCTTGTCAGTCACCAAATACGTTCACGTCCCACCGCCTACATCACTTGTTGGAGACAACGTGTCACTGCTGGTGGTTCGCGTACTATGCATTATGTGACATGTGCCTTCTATCGTCACTTATCAGCCCTTATCAGTTGTTATCACTCCTTGTCAGTCACCAAATACGTTCACGTCCCACCGCCTACATCACTTGTTGGAGACAACGTGTCACTGCTGGTGGTTCGCGTACTATGCATTATGTGACATGTGCCTTCTATCGTCACTTATCAGCCCTTATCAGTTGTATCACTTTTGTCACCCCACCAAATATGTTCCCGTCCCACCCCCTATATCATATCTTGAAATCAACTCCTGACGACACTGGTGCCGCGCGCTATGAATCCTGTCAAACACACACACGGAAACACACACCAGCAGACACACTCAGTCCACTATCATAGTAGGATTACAATGGACTCCACCAGTAATCATAGAAATCAAAAAGAAATAATACATAGTTCAATTCGGAGAAAACTCACATTCAGACTGTTCATCACACACACCGGGGCCATGCCTTGTTGGAACGGAGACAGATGCACAGCAACAGAAGAATCAGAGGTCGTTACGCAAACTTCTATTCCGACTTGATCATTGTCGAGCTGAACCAGGAGGTTTAGAGCAATTCAGAGAGACCGCTGAAAAAAGAACTTACGTGACAGAGCGTTTCGAAATTCTCCGTGATCGGGAACAGAATCGACTCCTCTTCTTGTCCTGCATACCTCGCACACAGGAACTTTCGCTTTCCACTCTGTTGTGGCCAGATTCCCACACACTAAAAGTAGTAATGTAACGCCACGGATCCTTCGACTCCATGACCGATCGCAGAAGAAATGGAAAAAATATTGCAGATTGTTCGCTCGGTTGGAAAACAATTATCGGGATCGATGGTGTAGTCTAGACGATATTTGAAAAATTTCTCGTTTATCTAGTAACACAGTTTGCCTTGAAGAGACATCCAATGCTAAACGTATGGAAGACAAGATAATGGGGTTATTCGCCCTTTCTATTGGCGGGCCTCTCCTCTTTGCCACCATGAACGGAACAATCCACCAACGAAAAGTGTGTTGGTCCAACTGGCTTTACCCACATGTTTGGCGTGGAGCACGCCTTTGAAGGCAGACTGCACGATAAACTGGTCGCGCTGAGAAAGAAAGCAGAACCACTAAGGCTAAGAGACGTAGCTCTATAAAGAAAAATTCAAGGAAACGGTCCGAAAGCCGCGAAACGGAACGTTTGTTTCCCTCACTAATTTTCGCATTAAAGGCAGCGATTACGATAAATTCAAGAAGGTTCAGTGTGACGTGGTGGTGCTCAATGGTACGCCAGTAGCGAAAAAAGCAGAAAAATCCGTCAAGAAAACGCAAAACGGGACCCCTTTTTGGCCGTTGGTTTTCACTCATGAACAGGTAACAGCTCAGAAAGTGGACGTATGAACGAGTTCACCGCAACGCGTTTGATGGCACCATGCCAAACACGCTTTAATCGAGATGCTCCATTTGCGCCGCTGCTGGCCACGCAGCTCGTCCAAATCAACAAGTAAACTAGTGGGCGGATCGCTTTCGAAGTCCTGCTCAGCAACCAGCGCACCTTTCGTTGTGAAAGCGCCACAGTCTCGCTTCCCTGGCAACCAAGTCGTGTGGTGCACATGCTTCCACAATGCGCTCCCTTTATCGTAATCGCTGCCTTTAAGGTAAAGCCAGTCTCATCGGCGCTGATATCTACGTGAACTCTTTGCCCTGCCTCTAATAAAGCGGCTGTAGTTCGACTGCAAAGTGTTAGCTAGTCGGTGGGCGTGGACAGCTGCGGAGCGCACCGCCGCGGGAAGGCCGTGACAGGTTGTTACAGATGCACTCTCAGCAAATCGAGCCCGTCCCACCATTCCAGAAACCTGTCTCCCTTTAAGGTATATGCCAGTTTGCCTTGTTTCGACCATCAACTTAACGTCTCACCTACCTCAAAGGCACGTCTACGTTTGCAGCCATAGTTCCTTACAAAGCACTCATGTCAACTACAACAGCAGGTCGGTGCCTAATGCTCTGGCATCCTACATTCTCTACTAAGTTTCGTTCCGGTCTGCGGATAAATTGTATCTGATTGTTAGAACACACTGAACATTTACCTCCACTTAACAGGGCAATTAGCGCTCCTCTCATAACCAATTTGAAGATTTTTTTTCAGTTCTACACACATGAATAGCTAACCATCAATCTAGAGAAACGACTAACCTTTTCCGCTGGAACAGATACCCATTCACTCTGCCCTTCTTCCCTGACTTCCATATCCCATTTGCTGAGATTCGAGACCAAAAAGAACGGACAGAATGTAACAATCTTTGTCAATCCCGACTGGCACAATTTGATGTCGACAGTCAACTGGAATGAGCATTCATGACAACAGCAATTTTTAGAGAAGAAAAACGCCTCACCTCATAGTCTCTGTCTTGTCCTTCACAGATCACTCGGGCTGGATTACCAACGGTGTCGAGCGGCATTTCTTGCGACCACTGACAGCCTGGCTGATCCACCAGCACGCGAGACTGTAAAATTAAACTGTAGTTTCCAATACAGCTTCAAACCCAAGAGTTCCGCCGTAATGCTCCACAAAATTTTCTTTTAAATCTGCCCTCTCCCATTTAAAAGCTCAATCCGTGGCGAATCATTAGAACTACCTCACTCCTGAACTAGCTGAGTCGCAATCGCAAAGGTAGCAGCGATTCAAAACGCGCAGTTGAGACGCGAGCTTTCGTTTCTTCAGCTAATATAAAGGAGCTCCTGCGGTAAGCGGGAAAGAAGCCTAACAATTTAGTCTAACCCTTTGATAAAGAGGCTCAACATAGCGAATTATACCATTTCTAAGCATAGTGCCATCTTCGATCGACCCTAAAACTCCACATCGCACACCGACAGTACATTGTGATGACATATGCATGTACCAACGTACCATGAGTGGTTAAAGGGTTGAGTCTTAACGTAACATACCTTTTTCTTTTTCGTGAAATCGGTGCTGGGGAATGGAAGGATGAGCGGATTTTCCTC